GTAGTGGATAGGATAACTGACTGACTAGTTCAGGGTAAGTATGCCTAGTAGTAAACATCACGCACGGGAAACATTTCTGTCAGGCATATCGCAAAGTTTGCTCCAAATAGTAGTCATTTTTTGGAGTTTTGGACTTTTTGCGACATTTTTTTGCTGTTTTCACTAGATGATTAATAGAGCATAAAGTTGGCTGCACACGTTTCGTCCAATTTATATATTCAACGTTGCCGTGCATTGTTTGCTCGATGTGATTTACCCCATTAAAGGCCAGTGGGACGAAATCCCAGACGTGTAGGATTAATACGCCTACCAGGACAGATTTCGGCGCCCCTGAACAGGCGCGGCGTGGCGACTTTCCAAGAAAGGTACCTCATAGCCGCCCTATCAAGCTACAGCATACTGACCCAGACGCCCACTGCGCACTCATGTTCGACAAGTGCTGATGCTCGCATCGCTTCATTTGCGAAGTACAGTATGAAAGAAGTGATTGCAACGAAGTGGCTGTGGAGCTGTCACGATACAGCATCGTGATGTGAGAGGTGGTGGTGTGGGTGCGACTCCACTACGAGGGTGTCAGTTCGACCCCCCCCCAAACACACCCCACACACACACCTGAATGAGGGTCTCGTACGGTCGGCGGGGGATGGGGAAGAAGAAAAGAAGAGAAAAGCGAAAAGCAAGAGAAAAAAAGCAAAGAAAAGTTACGTCCCCCCCTCCCCCATGTGTTTCACACAACGATGCTGTACCTTGGGTGCTGTAGGATATATGAGTACACACATGCAGCTGTACCTACCGTAGCTGTTATGGCACGATGCCAACGGGGAATCCGTCCAAATTGCTTTCAGAGTGCAGAAAAAAGTTTTCTGGCAGGTTTTTACCATTTCATTCGCATTTACGTCATTTTCTCCACTATATATACCCCTTGCTAAAATTTTACACCTAGGACCGGACTATCGCGCCTTGTGCCTTTAATTTATCTGTGAACAATTTCAGGACACTCGCTTTGCTTGCTTATGTGCGCGTGAACGCACTAGCCATTTTCACCGCCTTTGTCATTTCTATTACTTGTGATAACATTATTCAATAAGATTATTTCTCCTCATTTCCACGAACGTTACAGTTTCCACGTAGCTTCTTCTTTTCTGGTCGGGAAGGGCGCTGCTGCCACTTCTCAATGCGCGAAATAGGGTCAGATGCTCGTGACTCGAAGCGTCTCATGCCTTCCTGTGGACAAGCTGTACACTCTCATTTGAGGAGGGTTCGTACGAGCTGTACACTAATCTTGGAGGTGGACGCGTGCTCATGTGGGAGTAGGGTACAGCACCGTTGTGTGGAACACATAGGGGGTCGTATGTTCCCGCGGGAGAGTCATATTTGGCGGTGTTGGGAGAGGGGTGAAACGCATGTGGCATTGAGAGGAATTTGCCGCGTTGAAAAACTTTTGCTCGGTTGTTGACTTTTGTGATTTTTTCTGTATTATGTGCACTATATATCCGCCGCCCCTCCGCTCGACGGAAGATCTTTGGCTGAAAAGTAGAATTGTTTGGTAGGTGTGTTGGGGGGGGGGTTGCACTTACACCACCATTTCACACATCACGACGCTGTGTGAAATGTGGGAGGTGAGCGGGTCCACAGCTGCGAAGTATGCCACTTCCGTAATCCGAAAGGTTTCGCAAAAGAGTGGAGTGTAGTGAAAGGTGTATGCCGTTCGATCTCTACCCGACGCCCACAACGTGCAGTAGTCAAGGCCGAAGTCACGCAGCAAACAACATGAACACAACCTGCCTATCGCGGTCAGCAGAGAAGAACAGCTCAAGCAAACGAGTGAGGCGTAGAGGAGTGGCGCGATTGGCTTATAAGCGTATTAGTTGGTAGTGCGGCGTATTAGTGCCCACTGCTTTGACTCCTGGTCGAGCCCCGAGTGAGGAGCCATACTTCCCAGTCGTGGCGAAGACGCTTTGCGAGAGACATTACAGTAACCGGTACCCGGCACCAAGCAGCATTTTTAGTGATTTTAGTGCACTGTTTTTCTCTAACGAAGTAGAACAACTATGGGAGAGAGTTTCAAACTGAACTGACCTATTACAGAACGGCTGTTGTTTATGATGATGCCCTGCAACATCTAAAAGATGTGCTGGAGATGGACTATGACGTGATGTGGAGCCAGCCTGAATTCTGCTTAGCGTGCTCTGCTCCTTTTCTTTCTGCCGTTTAGGTTGGGGCCAGCAAAAGTGATTAGACGACGGCTTCTTCAATTTCTGTACTATTGTCGAAGGCTCAATCCACGCTTCTCGTATGGGCGGAGATGTGGAAAGAAACGCAGATGTAATCTGTCTTCTTCGCTGGTGCACCACTCGTTCAAAAGCAATATAGAGGCAGTGTGCTCCCAATAGAAAGATAGGATAGAAGATCCCTCTCCGCCAAGGAGACGGACAAGTCAATCGTAATACCAATCGCAAAACAATCGTCATTGCGCGCGACGGATCGTGCGGCAAAAAGCGCAGCACCGGCTTATGGGGAACGATTTCAGCCAACAGATCAGTCTTCATGGTACTTTGCAAACGGAAGCTGATCTACTTCCCTGGTGAAGAACTCCCCCTCCCCGATGTGCATTTCCGTAGGGAAGTAGATCATCAAACGAGTATATTCCGTACTAGCAAAAAATAAAAAATTTTAGTTCCGCGAGGCGTACCAAATTTTAGTTCCATGAAGCGTACCAAACCAAACCACCAAAGTCAATGATAATTACCAGTCGGCTCGACGGCTGACGCCGGCGCGCCTCCTTCGGTGCTACGACCCGGCTTCGCCGCGCTTACCTCCTACACGATGCTCAACAATTATCCGGCTTTTACTTCACCTGTACACATAGTCAACGCTCCTTGAGCAATAACATCATACCTACTATTTTCGACACTATTACCGTCTATGGGTGGTAAGCAGCGTTGATCAAGTGCGCAGATGAGAGAGAAACCTGGTATTAGTTGAGCGTTCAATACGGAAGCTGGTGGGCGCGACGAAGTAAGCAAAACCGGCAAAGTTGCCCTATTAGAAAAGGGCGCCGGCTTCAGCTAGCGAACCGGCTGGTATCAAATGTACCTGTGACAACTGGTGTTCAAGAGTGTGGCGGCCTATGCACTAAAACGCAGTGAAAGTAGGGACCCCATGCTTGAAACACGCTCCACCCACTGTGGGCGGGTCTCAACGCACCACAGACATGTTGAACTCTCGCCATATGTTTCTCATCACCAAAAGTTTTTCTGATCTCCAAGCTCACACTGATGCGATCCGCCAAATTTTTCTGCGAGAGCCTGCCCATCTCAAAAGTAGCCCGCCCATTTTCGAGATGTCTCTTTTCACCTTCGCCCGCCCACAACATCGACACAGCTCCGCACAGAATGAGCGCGTAAATCTCGCTCTAATAGCGGAGCTCCTGCACATTTTTGCTCGTCTTTGCAGGTGCCTGGAGTCTGTTATGGAACCACTCTATATTTCTGCGTTTGGCTCCGCCGCCTAGCCGCACGCTCCGCCTACAACGGCTGTGTGCCGCATCAACCGGTGATCCCTCCTGACCATCCACTTCCAAGTTTCACAGAACTTTTGTCTCCGCCCACCTCGGGCTGGCTCCGCCCACATCATGTGTGCCCCACATTTCTTATCGGCGACACATTGCTGGCCTTGATCTACTTTTCCCGGTCTCTAGAGTGCTCTGGGACCGTTTCACAGAACCTGCCTGTCACCACCCACCTCCAGCAGGCTCCCCTACAACATGCACACCCCACATTCCTCACTCGGCGACCCTTTGCTGACCTAAATCCACTTTTTTATGGTCTTTGGAGGGCTCTGGAGCCAAGCTACAAATTTTCTGAATGGGCACCCTACGAATGAGAGCGAGCTCCGCCCGCTGTGGGCGAGCCCCATGCCCTACCATGCCCACCTTGACCAGACCTCCCCAAGTTGTTCTTCAGGTCGAACCGAATTTCCGGACAGACAAACTTACAAACAAACAAACAAACAAACAAACAAACAAACAAACAAACAAACACTTTGAAGAAAATTATATATAGTGGGTGATGGGTGATAGGGGGGGGGTATTCGACATCGTGATCACAAGTATCGCGCTAGTTTCTGGTCGTCTGGCGCCAGCAAGAGCCTACTTGCGCCATCTCCCTGCTCTCCGAAGTGAACCTTGAACCTTGATCCCTGAAGCGCTAGGTTGAGGTTTGAATCTGAACCAAAGCATTTTACCCGTTTCTCAGTAATCATGGTAAAAATAAATGATTAAAAAGGATAATGTCTTTGCCGCTGATCAATCCCTTTGTGGGATTCTGCACGCATTCTAATTCCCTTCGGAATCGTAGTGGCTTATTGAATGCCATGTGGCCTACACAATGACTTGTGGGAGTCAGCCGATGTACAAGTCAGTGTTCTTATCCTCCCAGACAAATCTGGTACCAATTTACCGTCCCCGGGGGGGGGGGTAGAAGGCTTCGTTGGTTCGGGATTTGACTCCAGGACCGCGCAGGTGATAAGCGCACCAGTTGTCACACACCACCTTCGCCTCAGTTGAAAAGAATACTCTCTAAATGAGTGTGTACCTTTTCTTTCGCAGCGAGGTACCCCCATACACCATAATCCCTATACAAATCCAATGATGTTAGCATCACTTTGTCACGGTGGTTTCTTTGCCGAAGAAAGTGATTTTTGGCCAAGTGATGGTCATTGAGAATATGTGACTCCCTCGGATGGAGGAGTTACTTGATCATAAAACAGCGCCCAGACTCTTGCCTTCCCTTTCTGCCTGCAAGTTTGACAGCAGTCACCCACAGTTGTGGTTGAATTGTTTCGCACACGGTAATGATCAAGTCCGTGTTGCCATCAAAAGTGCATTCTAGTGAAATGGTGAGTATCCAGTATCTGCTTCCGCTAGAGCAAAACATGGAAATGAGAAAACTTTATGCGTATTGCTTGTTAATTGCGAAGGAGCTGCAGAGAATTTTAGTTCACTGCTTCTCGTAAAGACAGACAACTTTCGTTTTATCTCCGATTTCCACGGCGTTGCATCCATATTTCGTGCCTGCAGGAAGATTGCGTACCTGAATATGTCCATGATCAGAAGACACTTCACCTTAGTAGTTCTTTAATTACTCAGCTCTCCATTCAGGTTAGAGCATCGTGGAGAGAATTCCAACTCAGGAGTTGTACTTGTTCTGAGGAGGTGGGGAGTAGTTCTTGCTTCCGATAAGGACTTTCCTGGCCGCAAGGAATTTTTTCCGTTTGCTGGCTTTCGCCCGTTTTCCTCCCTTATTCGTTAGTTGCCTAGTTTACGAGCGCCGCAGAACTACCATACAATTATTAGTTTTGATTGTTTCTGATAAATAGTAGTTGACTAGCGACGGGGAAGGGGAACAACACTGTCATTCCAGATATCACCATGCTGCTGCTTGTTCTCAAAGCAGATTCTCAATCTGCCCGAGAGGCAGTTCAGAAAAGAATATGGCAGGAAATGGTGCGTAGTTCAGTTCAGTTCTGTGTTTGAGTATTTCATTTCTGGCGCGGAGTGTACCGAATAACTTCTCTACCAGAAGGAAAGCTGCATTTTGTTGCCACTTTTCCGGTGGCAAGGAAAATAATTGATGGAGAATATGAACACGATGAATAATAAATGAATGATCTTTCTATTACTCACGACATTGACTTGTGCCTCTTTATCTTTATATGCACGCATGAGGGTACGCTGAATTCTGCTCGATCTTACGAGTGATTTTGGTACCTCCCTTAACAACACTATTGTTCTGAAGGAAATATAAAGGATAAACATGGTAAGTGGACAGATACGAACCTTTCTACTTCGAGTTTATCAAAGCCATGGGAGCCTAATTCACCATAGGCTTCCTCGCAAGCTCGCTCAGAAAGGTCTTCGTCCCATACCTGTAACGAAAGATTGCCTTCAAATTGAAAATGTGGGAGGTTCCTTTAAACGAATTAAGGGGGAAAGGTCCCAGCATTCGTAAAATCATTTATGGCATCCTTTCTAATTTCACTTACTCAGTCTTCTACGCCCTCTAAAGGCACCTGAAAAAACCCACTAACCAAATTGTTGTTAATGCCGTTGTGGAATTTTGCATACAAGTGCTTCTGGTGGAAGTCTGGGACGCAATCTGAAAAGCACCGTTGTTCTGTTGTGAATAATTGAGGTACTGTTCGGCTTTGAGGGGACATCCTGCATTTTCCCAGTTTATTTGGTTTGTTTCTGTTAAACAACAGGTTTCACCATTGGTCAGACTCGTAAACCCCTGTGAAGCTGCGAAATTGTTCGAGTCATTCACCTCGGCCACAGGAGCTTACGGTTCTTCACAGGCTGGTGTACAAGCTTAGCTGAGTACCACACGGTGTCACCTCGAACCGATGTGCGCCGTAAGCGAAAGCCCGATAAGTGGAGTGGGCCTAAAGTACCACAAGAATGTAACAACGAGGCTTACCGTTTGCGTAGGCATTCATGACGAAAATGCACAGAATTGTGAGAGCAAGCAACATTTGTTTGCGATAAATTCCTGCCACGGCCTATCCCTTTTATAGGTGGGCATCCTTTATAGGGCCCAATGAGTCACAAGTTTTTCGATATTCCTGAAAATTCATGTCGAACAGTTTCTGTCATTGTTTGGCTGTTTTTGGATGAGCGGTTGGAATAAACACAGACTTTTGGAAGAGCTTCTTCCATGAAATCGGTTGAAAAATCGATTTCATGGAAGGAACCGTTTATTCAGAGCGCATGGATAAAGAGGACACAACAATGAGAGAGGTCGTTTGAGATATGTTAGAAGAGTATATGGCTCAATGGCGCCTATAAAAGGAGATTCCCTATAAAAGGGTGGACCGTGACAGGAATTTATCGCAAATAAAATGTTGCTTGCTCTCCCGATTCTGTGCCTTTTCCTCATGAATACCCACGCAAGCGGAAGGAACTCTTTGTTATACCCTTGCGGTACTTTAGGTCCACTTTTCTTATCAAACTTTGGCTTATGGCGCACATCGGTTCGGATGGGGACACCGCATGGTACGCAGCTAACCTTGTACGGCCACGGAGTGACCGAAGTGGCTCACTCGAACAATTTCGCAGCTTCATAGGGGTTTACAAGCAGGGCACGCCATCATGTTGTGATCAATTTCTGCTAAATACGATCCCCCCTCTAAAAAGGTCTCGACACGCCCCCCTCCCCTTGCCCGCTGCTAACCTGATAGCAACGGACCAGATCAGCAGCGGACAAACAACCACCGAAAAATGGAAGATCGGCGAAAATAAACGACAAAAAAGATGTGACGTTAATCAAGGATAAATATGAGAAACACGATGAAAATGAGTCGCAACAAATCATGAATTAATTAAGAAAAGTAATAAATTATGAATGAGCATCAAAAGGCCCAAGGACAAAAAGACAATGGAATAAATACCTGAAAAAAAATCGTGAAAACACTCTATCGCGAAGCCAAAAAAAGACTGCACGTCCTTATAAACTCAATAAAGACAAAAAACAAGTTGCCCCCAAAAAATAGAAAATACCGTAAAAATTAGTGAGAAAATGGCCAAATTAGGCCGGAAACAGCTGATCGCCGCGGTCGTGACGCGCCGCAGCCGCGTCGTGAGCCTTTACCGCCTAATCAAGTGCCCGGATGACGACTGTATCTTCAGGCAAGCCCACCACTAACTAACTAGTTTATTTTAATTTTGCACGGCTAACGTGCGGTGCTATCATGGAATTCATTCGTTCTGCTGTCGGATCAGTTCTTCGAATTGTATTTCAGAACGAATGGTGAGATTGCTGCTCTTGCCACGTTGTTTGAAGACACAACGTACGCTCAGCTGTCCTTAGCATGTCCGAGGATAATGAGCCGCCACCTGTCTAAGCGTAGCGGTTTCCCAGTCCGAAAATGCACGGGGAGGGGAGACCGTGCAATAGGCTAAATCCCCCATGCTCCGCCCAAGACTTCCGGTCCCGTTTATACCAACCGCCGTCCGCGCTGCGCCTCTCGCGCACAGCGCTCCTGGCCAAGTCTTAATTGTGCTTTCGAATACAATTAAAACGCAAACTCCTGATGCGGATAACATTTGAAGGCTGCTCATGCCACAAAGTCCAAATCGAAGATGATGACGAGGGAAAACTCAAGAGCAACTATGCTGCTTCTGCAATCTCCTTCAAAAGCTGCGCAATTCCACCAAACATGAAAATGAAACGGCTTAAAGGCAGTTGGCCCAAACGCCCGCCACGCCCGCCCGCCCCAAATGGACGACCGTTCCTGACGCTCGTATTCATTCATTTGCTAAGCAAATGAAGCGAAGGGATTGGTATGAAGCGGCCGTGATGCTGCATGCATATATGGGTACACATATGCAGCCGTATCTTCGGTAGCGGTGATTGGTAAGATGCCTACGGGAAACTCGTCCGAAATCGATTTACAAGTCACTGAGAACGGAGGCTTTTTCTTCGCAGGATTTTGACCGTTTCACTCCGTTCTTTCGCCATTTCCCCACTATACAGCGCCCTACTAGCATTTTAGGCTAAGTAGGAAACCATCGTGCCAACTGCCTTTAAGCGTCCTACTCGTTAATTCAAAGTCTTTTTATGGCTTTGTTGCCGAAATCACGCCAAATCGCAAAAACTTACACGGGTTTTTAATTAATTACATTCACTTTCATTTTTTATTTACAGTATAAACGGGATCGGGAGTCTGCGCCGCAAATTGGGCGGAGCGTGGAGGAATTAGCCTATCCCATGGTCCTGAATCCCCATTCCTGCGCAGCTCGGACGAAACCGCTACGCATCGACAGCTGGGGCTCGTTAACCCCGGACATGCCAAAGAGCTGATACGTTGTGCCTTTAAGGCTAAGGGTAGTGGACAGGATAATTTGACTGACAGAAACAGTACAGGCTAAGTATGCCTAGTAGTAAACATCACGGAAAACATTTCTGCCAGGCATATCGCAAAGTTTGCTCCAAATGGTCGTCATTTTTGGAGTTTTAGACTTTTACTTTTTCTTCGTGTTTTCAATAGATAGACCCTTGCCTCCCCTTTCTCCCTGCAAGTTTGACAGCAGTCACCCACAGTTGTGGTTGAATTGTTTCGCACACGTTAATGATCAATCCGTGTTGCCATCAAAAGTGCATTCTAGTGAAATGGTGAGTATCCAGTATCTGCTTCCGCTAGAGCAAAACATGAAAATGAGAAAACTTTATGCGTATTGCGAAGGAGCTGCAGAGAATTTTAGTTCACTGCTTCTCGTAAAGACAGACAACTTTCGTTTTATCTCCGATTTCCACGGCGTTGCATCCATATTTCGTGCCTGCAGGAAGATTGCGTACCTGAATATGTCCATGATCAGAAGACATCACCTTAGTAGTTCTTTAGTTACTCAGCTCTCCATTAGGTTAGAGCATCTTCCACTAACGAGTTGTACTTGGCGCTGAGGTTTAGGTCGTACTCGCCTCCGCTAAGAGCTTTTCCTAGCCGCAAGGAATTTTTTCCGTTTGTTGGCTTTCGCCCGTTTTCCTCCCTTAGTCGCTAGTTGCCTAGTTTACGAGCGCCGCAGAACTACCATACAATTATTAGTTTTGATTGTTTCTGATAAATAGTAGTTGACTAGCGACGGGGAAGGGGAACAACACTGTCATTCCAGATATCACCATGCTGCTGCTTGTTCTCAAAGCAGATTCTCAATCTGCCCGAGAGGCAATTGAGAAAAGATTACGGCAGGAAATGGTGCGTAGTTCAGTTCAGTTCTGTGTTTGAGTATTCATTTCTGGCTTGGAGTCTACCGAATTGTTCATGATAACATGTAGGATGACAGCCGACGGAGGAAGGGTGAGCGGAGTATGTCGCCAACAAACACTTTTCATCCCATATCACCATAGACTGGTGCTATGTTCTCTATGGGCACCTCAATCTGCCCTAGAGGCAGTTCAAGAAAAGAATATGGCAGGAAATAGTGCGTAGTTCAGTTCAGTGAGTATTTCATTTCTGGCGCGGAGTGTACCGAATAACTTCTCTACCAGAAGGAAAGCTGCATTTTGTTGCCACTTTTCCGGTGGCAAGGAAAATAATTGATGGAGAATATGAACACGATGAATAATAAATGAATGATCTTTCTATTACTCACGACATTGACTTGTGCCTCTTTATCTTTATATGCACGCATGAGGGTACGCTGAATTCTGCTCGATCTTACGAGTGATTTTGGTACCTCCCTTAACAACACTATTGTTCTGAAGGAAATATAAAGGATAAACATGGTAAGTGGACAGAGACGAACCTTTCTACTTCGAGTTTGTCAAAACCATGAGAGCCTAATTCACCATATGCTTCCTCGCAAGCTCGCTCAGAAAGGTCTTCGTCCCATACCTGTAACGAAAGATTGCCTTCAAATTAAAAATGTGGGAGGTCCCTTTAAACGAACTAAGGGGGAAAGATTCCCAGCATCCGTAAAATCATTTATGGCATCCTTTCTAATTTCACTTACTCAGTCTTCTACGCCCTCTAAAGGCACCTGAAAAAACCCACTAACCAAATTGTTGTTAATGCCGTTGTGGAATTTTGCATACAAGTGCTTCTGGTGGAAGTCTGGGACGCAATCTGAAAATCACCGTTGTTCTCTTGTGAATAATCGAGGCACTGTTTGGCTTTGAGGGGACATCCTGCATTTTCCCAGTTTCTTTGGTTTGTTCCTGTTAACTAACAGGTTTCACATTGGTCAGACTGGTAAACCCCTGTGAAGCTGCGAAATTGTTCGCGTCATTCACCTCGGCCACAAGAGCTTCGGGTTCTTCACAAGCTGGCCTGGACAAGCTTAGCTGAGCACCATACTGTGTCCCCACAGAGCCGATGTGCGCCGTAAGCGAAAACCCCAAAAGGAAAGTGGACCTAAAGTACCACAAGAGTATAACAACGAGGCTTACCGTTTGCGTAGGCATTCATGACGAAAATGCACAGAATTGTGAGAGCAAGCAACATTTTGTTTGCGATAAATTCCTGCCACGGCCCATCCCTTTTATAGGTGGGCATCCTTTTATAGGGGCCAATGAGTCACAAGTTTTTCGATATTCCTGAAAACTCATTTCCAACAGTTTCTGTCATTGTTTTGCTGTTTTTGTATAAGCACTCTGGATAAACATAGACCTTTGGAAGGGTTTTTACCATGGAATGAAAATGGAATCGACTGAAAAATCGATTTCATGGAAGAAACTGTTTATTCGGAGCGCATGGATAAAAAGGAGACAATAATGAGAGAGACCTTTTGAAATGGATTCCCATGAATATGTTAGAGGAAGTTTTGGCTCAATGGCGCCTATAAAAGGAGGCCCCCTACAAAAAGGATGGACTGTGGCAGGATTTCATCGCAAACAACATGTTGCTTGCTCTCCCAATTCTGTGCCTTTGGGGAAACGTATGGTACTCAGCTAACCTTGTAAAGGCCACCAAGTGGGCGAATGGCTCACTCGAACAATATC